TCTGCTCCTCCTCCTCCCCCTCCTCCTTCTCCCCCTCCTGCTCCTCTTCCTCCTCCTCCTCTTCCACTTCCTCCTCCTCCTCCTCCTGCTTCTCCTTCTGCTCCTCCTCCTCCTCTTTCTTCTTGCTCCTCCTCCTGCTCCTCCTCCTCCTCCTCTTCTTCTTGCTCCTCCTCCTCCTCTTCTTCTTGCTCCTCCTCCTCCACCTCCTCCTCTTCCTCCTCAATGCTCCATTTCTGCCTCCACCTTCCGGCCCCCGGCCCCCTCCTATGGCTACGAGCAGCAGAGGAACTTTTACCGATGGTTTGTGGTGGGGGCGGCCCACGGTGGTGGGACCGTCACCTCCAAGGCGCATGAGGACGCACCTTTCTTGTTTCCAAAGTCATTCCATGTGTCATTCACAGCTGGAGACTCCCAGGGCCGGGAATGCATTCCACATGTTTCTTCTTTTGACTCCAAAAACATTTTCTCTAAAAGAAAAAAAAAATCTCCGCTGCCTCAGAAGCACGCCGGCGTGGCTCACGCAGGGCCGGGCGCGTCCACGCTTCGATGGGGTCTGGCTCCGTGGCGGCAGCGCTGACTTGGGAGACTCGGCGGCCGAGGCGGGAGGACGGCGGTCCTGAGGAAACGCGGCCCGTTGCGTCTCACCACGAGACGTCGCACTCTGTGTCCCTCAGAGACGTTTCCCTCGACTCGGTCAGATGAATGCTGAACTGCCGCTGCTGCTGCTGTAACGACGCATAAGCAGTGTTGACATGGAAATTTAACATCCTACTAACCTGCAGAAATGGCTGGTTAAAAAAAAATCCAGGCTCAAAAATGGGAAGATAAACAACAGCACTACCGAGCCGCAGCATAGGGAACGCTTTGCCCCTTGGACAGGGGGCCAAGCAGCGGGGCCGGTGTATTTCGTGTGGGAAAGCGCCCGCCGTGGACCAGACGAACCTGCACCCGGGGAGGAGGCCGCGGTGGTTTACTGAGGATCTTGGAGGAATCCAGAGCTTACAGAGCGTTTTGAAGTCTGATACACAAGAAAAGCCCTTTCCTTGAGAAGCCTGCGGATGCATCTGTCTGAAAGACGTCTGTTAGATGTTCTTTTTTTTTTCCCCCTAAGGAGAAAAATATATCTGAAAGACAAATACACTGTGCTTCATTAGGAAATATTCAGACTGCTGTACTAATACAAAACTTCACCGTGCCGCCATCAGACGACGCCACCCTGTAAATACTGGGCCAAGCTGTGATCAGGCCATACTGCCACCAGCCGCAGTCCAGCGTGCCACCCAGGAGACCACGTGCCATGCCAGACCGTGCTGAGACCGGACCAGGTCTGGCACGTGTAATAGCAGGACTTCGAAAGACGTCATACTCCAGCCTTTATCGCTCATGGCTGCTGTAATTAGGATAATTCCGAGAAACTCTATTTTTTCTATTTTTAAGAACTGTTTTTATATATTAAAAAATAAAACGTTGAAGGCCCTGTGTAAAGAGTTGCTCCCCCAGCCCGCCCAGGCTTGAACCCAGGGTGGTGTCCTTTATTTTTTCACTCAGGATGCTCTCTACCACTTGAGCCATGCCTCCAATTTTGACTTTTTGCTGGGTAATTGGAGATACAGTTCTGCCTGGGTTGGCTTTGAACAGTGATCCTTAGATCTCAAACTCACAGGTAGCTTGGGTTTCAGGTGTGAGCCACTGGTAACCAGCTTTCGACAGTTTTAAAAGAGTGGGGAAACGAGGTAAACAGAGTCAGGTGACTGTCCCCAGGTCAGCCTCAGTTAAAGGAGAGCTACCGACAAAACCAAGGCCACTGAAAGAGAAATCTCTTTCAGCCTCAGGAACATTTACAAATGTGGCCAGTGAAAAGACCAAATAAAGATTAAGAGCAAATTTCCACAATTTCTATGAATCACAAGTGTTTTTTGATTTTCTCTAGTAAAGAGGAATGAGTTGTTTGTATACATATAGAATCCAGTTTAGAGAACTATCAAGTTGAAAATTAATTAATAATTAATTAATAATCAGCATTATAAATGTAGCATTCTTGCTAATTAACATTTACTATAAAACATTTATATATACCTACAAATATCATTACATAAACTGTGGATACTATATACCTCTGAAATATGTATATGTAAGATGGCTAATTATTTCTGTCTCCATCTATCATCGACCATCGGTTTACCATCTGGCTATAATACTGTTGTAGCACTTTGTTTTGTGATAAGTGTTGGATTTGATTTTCATTAGTAAGCTAGGTTGCCTGCAGTATCTCGCCTCTGTAAAATACGTTGGGCAAGGCTATATCTTTCAGGGGCATGTGAGCATTTATTAACTGTCCCATAAACCTTGATCAGATTACTCCGGGATGGGGGTGATGGTGTGAGGAGCCGGTGCAAAGCTTGGCACTTGGCTGCGGTGGTGAGCAAGAGCAGAACAGCCCCACGAGGCAGGCCTGCGCACTCTCAGAGGCTGCACGGTGTGGGGACCATTCTTCCACGTGAGAGTTCGTATGAGGGCCGCTATGGAGCATAGCCACACACATGAGCACAGAAAAGGACGACTGCATATAGATTCATTTGTGGGTGTCTTCAGTGTAGTCCGTGGTAGAGCATTTGAGGGACATTTTAAAGTGTTTATGTGAATGTTGTTATACACATCATGCTATAATCCTAGCTACTCAGGAAGCGGAAAATCTGGGGATCAAGGAGGTTTGAAGCCAACCCAGGCAGGCAAATCTGAGAGACCCTAGTCTGCAATTAACCATGAAAAAGTCAGAACTGGAGGCATGGCTCACGTAGTAGAGCACCAGCCATGAGCAAAAAAAGCCAAGAGAGAGTGTAAGTCCCTGAGATCCAGTCCCAGTACTGATGCTCATGCACACACACACACACACACACACACACACTAAACTTATGGTAACTGTGAACAATTAGAGACACAGGTGTCAGGCTGCTGGAGAGGAGAAGGAGGAGGAACAGCACCCACTCAAAAGCAGGAAGGTGTAGACAGTGCAGCAAGGAATTGTCCAGAGGACGTGCGTTGCATCTAGTGAATGAGAGCCAGCGATGGGCCAGAAAACTTCCGGGCATGTTGTGCTGGCTGAAGAAGACAATGGCTGTGAAAGCGGAGGGCACACTTGCTAGTAAGGTTCACTTGTCCTGAATGCTTGGGGGGGTGTAGTTATCGCAGAGGGCTGAGAAAATCCAGAAACCCAAGTGAATGCTACCACACATCATTTTCTGTTTTTTTTCCCCCTCTCACTTTTTGAAGATTATTTTTCCTAACCATTATATATTCTGTGAAAATATTTACCTGAGTCATATACAGTCCATTTTACACAGTCTCTTAACTATTTTCCGCCCCTACGTTTGACTTAGACTTAACTTCGACTCTTTTAAGAATTATAAAAGAATATCCATTTTTGACCGTAATGCTATCTCAACCTTTCTGGCTCTTTTCTGCGACTGTCTTCCTAGAAATTCAGTCACGTGCACTCCAAGCATTTCTTCCCTGAATGCTCCTGATAATGTTGCTAAGTGGAGTGGAAATCTGTGAGACTTGAAAAAAGACTCTTTGGGCTTCCCAGCACTCTCTTCTTTCCCAGTCTTCCTCAGATTTCCCAGCGCTCTCTTTCCAAGTCCTCCTCTGTGTCTTGCCATCATATTTACAAATTAAATGGAGAATCCATATGAAGCCTGCTCAACAGCCTGACACATAGTCGATGCTGTCGGTTAACTCTTGATCCTGGACAGTACGCACCATGTTTACCCTTGTGCTCCTCCAGACAAATTCTTTGAAGCCCCAATTTTCTCTTCTCGTGGGCACACGTGACTGGCCGCACTGTATTACTGTTGCAGGGCGCGTAGTGTGCCTGTGGTCCATTTGTCTGTCCCCGGTGTGGCCACACTCTGGTTCAGGCACAGGTAGCTCTCTGTAGGGTAGAGGTTTGCACGGCTGAGCACCCCAGCGGCGAGCAGGGCTTTGATTCATAGCTTGAATCACGGACTGTAAGAAAAGAAGGAGCCAAGGAGATGTTGGTCCTTTGAGAGATTTTTAAGCTTCAGGAACAATTGCTTCTCATTGGCTAACATGAACACCGATCTAGAATCGTTTCCGTTTCCAACGGTGAGTCCCACCAGCTACAGGATTTTTGTGTCGAATGTTGTTGGCTTAAGGACAGGCAAGTCGAAGGAGGAATCAGCAAGCCTGAATTGGACATACTGAGCTGCAGTTCCACGCGTCCGGTGCCACCAGTGAGTGTGTGCTTATTGTAAATGTGATAACTATAAAACGAGGATCCTCTCTGCCCCTGCCTGGGGCTGGAAGGCTGGAGTTGAGCTTGGAGGAGTCCTGTACTGTACTGCCATCTTGTGGCCGTTCATCCAAAATCCACGATGGGGCGGGGAACGCAGAGACAGGTGGAGTTGAAGGATGATAGACAATCCTTCCCGAGATTGTTAGCGTTTTTATAGCCCCGCGGGCACGGCTGGCGTGACTGCTATTGTGCTGTCTCTTCAATGACCTTTGCTTCCAGAGTGGCCTGGATCTGTGTGTAAAGTGGCGTTTCCGTCAAAAGTGTGAATCGAATGGATGACCTGAGCCTACAAAGTTAGATCACACATCAGTCCCCCCGACCCCGGCCCCCATCGCTGGTCTTCTGAGGCGTCTTGGTCTCGAGTGGGGGCGCTGGGGTTATTTCGGGTTGCGGATGAGAGGCTGGCGGGTGGAGCTGGGCACTGGCGGCTGTGAGGCCTGGCCGTGAATGGTCCTAACCACAGCTCGCCGCCTGGCGTCCTGGTTCTGTCAGCTCACGCGCTTCGATGTCCGCCTGCTCGCGCACCGGGGCCTGAGTCGCGGCTCTGTGGTCCAGGAGAGGAGCTGGCTGGCCGGCACGGCCGTGGCATGGGGTCTGTGAGGGAGTGCGGAGCGTGCGTCCCTCTGCTGCAGACGTCTGGCACGCACGTGTGAGCGGCCCGCTGGGCCTGTGCTTTGTTTTCCAGATGGGCGTGAGCGTGGTGGACGCGGCCGTGTCCGGGCTGGGCGGCTGTCCCTACGCGCCGGGGGCCTCCAGCAACGTGGCCACCGAGGACCTGCTCTACATGCTGGAGGGCCTGGGGCTGCACACGGTAAGTCCCGCGCCCCACGCACCCACAGCTCACTCGCGGCCCCTCCTCCCTCGGCCCCACGCCCCTCGGGTCTGAGGAGTCATGTGCAGATCGCGTCGGCCACCGCTTTTGTTACGTGCGTGAATGACCTGACTTGACCTTCCCCCGTGCCTCCCGCTGGGCCTGCGTCTCACCTGTGACCAGGCCGGCCGTGCAGCGGCGCTCTGGCGTGTGTGTGGGCCCTCCCGCACACGCGGAGCCCCAGGGCTCCAACGCCAGAGCGTCTCCCTCCTTTCAGAGGCTCCGCAATCTGTCCAACTCTGCCCGCAGGGCTCACGGGAAGAGGAGAGTCAGGCGCTGTGTGACTCTACCAAAACCAACTCCTAACACTAACCTGCTTAGCGACACTGCCCCGCGTCTGGCATCCAGCTCCAGCAGGTTCTGGACCTGACCCCAATCCCGCTGGTTCTTCCTCAGCAGCCCGAGGGGTCTTCCAGACCTCCCTGCATCTCCCCCGGAGAACCCGGGCCTGGGCTGGGCCCTTTCTCTCCCTGGTCGACCCCGCGCTGCCCCGCTAGTCTCTGATTTTGCCTCTGGACGCCCCCCCCCCCGGGCTGTGTCACAGTCTTGTTGCTCATCTGCCTTCCTGTGCAGTCAGAAAGCAACGGCAGAGCATCCTCCTCAGAGCCAGCAGCACGCAGATGCTCGGCGCGTTTACCGAGACTTAATTGGCACCACACACCCGCACCGTCGTCTACTAACACAGAAAGCTACTGCTTAGCTTCTCTGGTTAGGAGGTTTGTGTGTTTGTGTGTTGCATAGTAGCTTCATCATTTGCAATTCAAGGCGGATTATGACACTGCCTAGCAATCACCATTGAGCCAGGAATCCAAGCTAGTTACTAATCCATGATCTTCCTGAGGCCACAACTCCACTCTAGTTTAAAGGCCGAGGCAACGACCAAGAACTAGTGGTTCAGTTTCTAGAATGTTCTGGTTGGTTATTGCTTCCTTACATAAGCGCAGGCCCTTCTGCATCTCCCGGGGATGTGGCCTCCACGGGCTGGCCACACACGTGGCTTTGTTCCTGCACAGAATTTTTTCTCACTGGTCCTCGAGCGCTGTCACCCACGCGCTCACACTGGAAGAAGCACACGCCACACACAGTTTCTTTGTCAGGCAACATGGCAAGCCACAGAGCTGCCGCAGCGCGGGTGTGCGTTGCTGTACTCTCTCTCTCTTTCTCTGTTGGGTAGCGGGAGCGTGTGTAGGTCTGTGTTGCTGTACTCTCTCTCTCTGTCTGTTGGGTAGCAGGAGCGTGTGTAGGTCTGTGTTGCTGTACTCTCTCTCTCTGGTCTGTGTTGCTGTACTCTCTCTCTCTGGTCTGTGTTGCTGTACTCTCTCTGTCTGTTGGGTAGTGGGAGCGTGTGTAGGTCTGCGTTGCTGTACTCTCTCTCTCTGGTCTGTCTTGCTGTACTCTCTCTCTCTGTTGGGTAGCGGGTGCGAGCGCAGGTCTGATGTCAGCATCTTGAGGAGCTCCCATGCTGACTTCCGTAGCGTGTGCAGTCCTTTTCGGTCCCAGCTGTGGCTTTGAATCTGTTCTCCGTGTGGCCGTCTGAGCTGTCTCAGCGTGCTAGCACGAGTCCAGCAGAGGCCGCGTATATCTCCTCCAGAACCAGACAGAAACATGGACGATGGCATTTCCATCCACAGTTCTGAGCTCCTTCTAGGATTCCTGCTGTTCTGAGCACAGCGCCTGCTCCTGCTCCCTCCCAAGGGCTCCACACTCCCCGGCGCCGGGGTCAGGCCGTCCGCGCCCTCCTGCCCCAGCTCCTCCTGGCTGGCTGTCCCCCTCCATCTCCATAGTCACCAGGATGCAGCTGTGTCCACGCCGCTAACCAGGGAACACAGTCTCCCGGTTCTGTGAATTACCTGCACACGTGCACACGTGTGTGCGCGTGGGGTCCAGCCCTCTGTCCTCACACACGCCTGTGAACGATTTCCATCACGGCGCCTCCTGAGATGCCGCTTTACTGAGTAGTGTTTGATCACTCCAAAATGTGATCCGCTGGAAAGCAAACAGCGCTCTGAGACGTAATAAAGATGTCTGCATTTTTGGAAACAGCGAATACTGACGTATCTATGATAGGAAACAAACCTGGACTTCTGGGGTGATGGAGGCTGTTGACCTTTGAGTCCGGAGGACCCTGGGGGGGCCGGATGGGGCCCAGCCCCGGCCAGCGCACAGGCTGGGACTCCACCTGGCAGGGATGACAGACAATGAACTTTAAAATGGCTGGTTCCTGGTAATTTTAAAGCTCTGTTTTCTCTGTGTGTGTGTCTGTGTGTCTCCTCTCTCTCTCCCTGTCTCAATCCCCTCCCCTCCTTCCCTTCCCCCCAGGGAGTGGATCTGCACAAGGTGATGCAAGCTGGGGACTTCATCTGTAAAGCTCTGAACAAAACCACAAACTCCAAAGTGGCGCGCGCCGCCTTCCAGCCCTGACCAGAGCGGGTCTGCGAGGAGGGCGGCGCGGCTTCACCACCCGCAGCCCCTGCAGAGTGGAGCTGCAGGCGGGGTGGGGAGGGAAGGGGTCTCATGGAGGACTGCACGGGGGCAGCGTCGGCGTCGGCGGAAAGCGGGCCAGCCTCACCCTAACAGCAAGCTGTGAGCAAAGAATAAAATGTGTAGAAATAAGTTCTTAGTTTAGAATGTGTGAACATTGAATTCAGATCTCCCTACGTACGGCCTGTGGTGCTGGTACTTAACCCAGCTGCTCAGCGCGGCGCGGCGTCAGTAGTGTGTGTGTGTGGCCTGGCGTGCCGCGGCCGTGTTCTTCATGGCGCTCCTGGAGCTCGGCCTTCCTCGGCGGTCAGTGGAGTTACGGACCGAGAGCCAGAGCTGCCTCCGACCCGACCTGAGCTTTAGCAGCAGAACGTTGGTGTCAAGTAGGACTCGCATCTGTTAACTATTGTCCCGAGGGGCTGTGGCCAGTGGCAGGAGCCGGTGTCGCGGCCCTGCCCCAGTGCCCGGGCGTCCGGCACCCACACCGCACCCTTCATCAGCGCCACGGAATCCAGTGCCCACACGCAGCCACGGAGAAATGAGAGCGTAAGCTATGCTTCCCCCGCGGGCTGTGCTGCCCCCGCGGGCTGTGCTCCCCCTGCGGGCTGTGCTCCCCCTGCGGGCTGTGCTCCCCCTGCTGTGCTCCCCAGGCTGTGCTCCCCCTGTGGGCTGTGCTCCCCCTGCGGGCTGTGCTCCCGTGTGTGGGCTGTGCTCCCGTGTGTGGGCTGTGCTCCCGTGTGTGGGCTGTGCTCCCCCTGCTGTGCTCCCGTGTGTGGGCTGTGCTCCCTGTGTGGGCTGTGCTCCCCCTGCTGTGCTCCCCCTGCTGTGCTCCCCCTGCTGTGCTCCCCAGGCTGTGCTCCCGTGTGTGGGCTGCTTGGGGAGCGCAGGCTGGCGCGTCCCCCCCCCTCCCAGCATCCCCAGTTTGCTCCCAGGGTGTGGAAGCAGGGCCCAGATCGCACATGGAGATGGTGCCAGTGCATGAACGTTGCGTGAACGCCCCGAGCCACTCTGATAGAAGTCCTTGAGAGGAAAGTTTGGCGCAGGCCGAGCTCACGAGCTGGGATCTGACACTGAGGACAGAGGCGCTTGGGGCCCGAAGGCCGGTTCATCTGATGGTAGTGTGGCTGCTTTGGCTTGCTCACGAACACCTTTACTTGAAAATCCTCTGACTAGGTATTCTTAGTACACGTGTTGGACGATACGCAGGAGGTTAACAAATGTATTACCTGAAATACGGTGAGTTCAAGGGAGATTTCTATAGGTACTTCCCTAGAAAGGCAAAGCAAAGTTCAGGAGAATAAGACACCAAGAAGCAGGTACTTAAAAGAGGGGGTGGGGCAAGGGGAAGAGGGGCAAGAGGGGGAAATGCAGTCAACATTAAGAAGTGCCAGGAAGGGGAGGGTCTGTGGAAGGGGAGGG